TCTTAACACAGTGAGGATGCTGCTATGAAATTCCAGGTCAGATAGGGTCATAACAACGGAAAGGCCTCGCAAGGTCTGCGCCCCTCAGCAGCCTCTGTTCCATTCCCTTGCTTATTCCGCTCCGGCCGCCCTGGCCTTGCTGATTGGCCGCCTCTGGGCACGCTCCCTCCCCACATGCGGCCTTTGCCCTGGCTGTTCTTTCTGCCGGGATGTAGGCCCCCAGAGATTTTATGGCTCCTTCCTCTCCCTGCTTCAGGTTCTTGCTCAGCCATCACTTCAGTGATACTATGTAAAGTTGTAAACCTTTCCTTTAGTTTTTCTCCTAAGCACATTTTACCTTCCAATATACTTTATGCATTTCCTGTTTATTTTCTTTACTGTCTGCCTCCGGCACTAGAATGTAAATTACATAGGGGCAGGGATTTATTTCAGTTTTTTAATTGACATAAATACAGTTGACCTTGAACGATGTAGGTTTGAACTGCATGGGTCCACTTACATGTGGATTTTTCCAGTTACTTCACTCTGTTCAATTGACTGCAGTACAAACTAAAGTTGTTCTGGGATCAATTGGCAGTTGGGAATCTATGTATGTAGAAGGTCGACATAAATTATAAGAAGATTTTCGACTGCGCAGGTGATTGGAGATTCTAATCCCTGCGTTATTTAAGGTCAGCTGTACTTGTTAAATGAATGGAGATGGATTTGACTACATAATAGCTAAATTCTTTGTATTACAAAATACTGTATGGCAGGGGCAGGCAGGAGGGGGTCAGTGGGGGGGAATGGGGGACATATGTAATACTTTCAACAATAAAAATTTTTTAAGAAGTCTGAGATTCTGCCCAGCTTGGACCACTCCTGGGTGCCATGCTCAGTTCCAGAAATGAGATTTTCAGAGGAACACTGACACAGCAGAGGGGAATGACGAGATGGTGGGAAAATTCAAAAGCTAGCCTTGTTGGGAAGAAATCAGGCCAGAAAGGACGAGGCTGAACCAACGAACACATTGGTCAGAGATGCGTGGTTTCTCTTCCTCCGGGACACAGCGAGACCACGTTTTGCAGTTGTCCTGGCAGGTCAGTGTGGCCACAGACTGAGTTCTAGCCAATGGGATGTGGTGGAAGTGATGTAACAGGCCTCCAGGCTCAGCCCCTGAAATTGCCCATGTGCAATCCTCATGCTCTTTCCCCTCCACGGGGCATGGAAACTGTCTGTTGAAGAAGGCAGAGCCTCAAGATGGAAGGAGCCTGGTCTCTGAATTACTGCTTGGAGACGAGCCTCCCACCAGTCAGAAACACTGAATTGAACTTTAGATGAGCAAGAAACAAACTTGTACTTAGGAAGGTTCTCTTTTTAAAAGGCACCCTTGCCAAAGCAACTAGAGTCATTAGCCTGGAGAAAATTTGGAGGTGGAGCGTGATCATGATATTCAACTTCAAATATCTGATGGGCCCCCACAAGCTGAAGGATTCATGGATGATACTGCAAGTTTCCTTGGAAGACTGTGGAAGGACACTGCGTAACGCGAGACCAATAAAGCACCCAAACCTTCATGCGGAGAAGCTTGCGGGAAAACAACCAAAAGAGCAAAGGTGAAGTGCAGACTCGGGTCTCCATTCCTTGTCCACATGCTGATTTGTGATGGAACTTCGGGGATGTCATTTAACCTCTCTTTGGTCAGAAACTTAAACAGAAAAATTTTGGGGGGAAAAAAGTCTCTGAGATCCAGGTAGTATTAAATAAACTCAATGATTAAAAAAAAAAAAAGATTGTATAAGAGAATTATTTTCTAAAGTTTGTCTTTTACATTTGTAATAAAGGATCACCTGGATAATATAGAAAGAGCTCCTAGAAGTTAATAAGCACAAAGCAAACAACCCTATTGAAAACTGGATAAAGGACAGTGAACATCTTTCCACAGAAGATATACAGAAATGCCAATAAAGATGAAAAGCGTTCAGTCGCAGTGAGCAAAGAAATTGAAATTGGAACAGTAGGATGTTTTTTATCCATCAGATTGGCCCAGATTACAACGATTAATAGCATCTGGTGTGATTAAGGCTATAGGAAATTGGATTCTCTCATACACGATTGGTGAAAGCGTGTGTTGGCACAAATTTTGGAGGGTGCTGATGGCAGTACACATTCTTCTTTCAGGAACCCACCTACTTACCTCACTTATTAAAATATTTTCAGATGTTCACAGAAATGTAACTGTAAGGCTATTTATTGTAACACTAGAGGCCCAGTGCACGAAATTTGTGCCCTGGTAGGGTCCCTAGTGGCTGCCTGCTGCTGACCGGGGCTTCCCTTTCTTCCCGCAGCTGCCGGCCGCTGACCAGCCCTGTCCCCTGGTCGAACTCCTGGACAAACTCCCAGTTGAGGGGACAATTTGCATACTACGCTTTTATTATATAGGATTGTTGTTAAAAATAAAAAAGTGGGAAATAATTTAAATTTCCATCATGTCTTTAAAATCGTGTTACAGGTCTATACAAAATTATAGAGCTAGGTGGGAAAGAGAACCCAATCCATTACATGGGTTTTTCTATTAGTGAATTGTCCTTCTCAGATCCAACAGAAATCTTCAGAGTCCTCTGGCCCACCTCCATTGGATATAATATTTGAGTTCTGTTAAAAAATGTCTTAAAATATGAAAGTAATATATATTCATTCTGGAAAAGATGGAAAATACCAAAAGGTGTAAAAAATATCACCCAGAATTGTACCATATGACTGCGAGCTGAAACATTAGCCTCTTTCTTTGATTTCTGTGTAATTTTATAGCCTGTTTTCATTTGCAGCATACTTTTATCTGTGAAAACTCTATCAATGTATGCATTTTGTTGACCACATAATATTCTTTTAAGTGAACCTACTATAACTGAACTACTCCCTATTCTTTGATGGATGGATAGCTTCCAGTTTATGTTTTTGTAAATAATGCCAGATTTTTATTCCTACAACTTTTTATCTATTTTAAATTATTGTCTTAAATAGATTATAGACTTAGATGTTAGAAGTTCTTGATAAATCATGCCCCAAATTTCTTTCTTACGTTCACAATGAAGAAGCAGAGCCCAGAGAGACACAGCCCACGGGGGGCAGCAGCAGCCTGGGGCAGGGGTCAGGCCTCGGAGCTGTTTTCTCTTCTGCAGTCTTCTGCCTTTCCTTTGGGAATTTAAGGGGAAGATCAGAGGTTCTTAATTACAGCACTTCCTGCAAGCCTTTCCTACCTAATACTAATTGAGGATCTAAGGCAGTACCGGACAGTTTTCTGGAAGCTGTGAACCAGGGCAAGTCTGGTGTTTGTGGCATTTCCACTCCTGCTTGTACAGCTGAAGTCACACAAACCCACAGACCATGTCAAAATGTTTACCTTACGTAGAACTATTGCTATTTGTGGTTTACTGTGCTACCTTTTAAAATTAATGCGTAATCTTGTTATGTGTGATGGGCTGGCTGGGCTCACTGCCTGTGTAGGATTTTCCAGTCATCTCTGCTCCCCCTTTGTGCTACAGTATTTTGGAACCGGCAGTCTGTTTGCCACTCAGAGCCTTACCGTATACACGCAGTCCCCTCTCCTGGGATGCGTTTCCCGTGCTCACATCCACCCTGCAAGCCCTGGTCATCCTTACAGCAGGGCTGGGGAACCTTTTTTCAGCTAAGGGCCATTTGGATATTTATAACATCATTCACAGGCCATACAAAATTATCAACTTAAAAATTAGCCTGCTATATTTGGTCAGACATTTAATTAACTCACCCCTAATGCCTTGGCAGGGCCAGACCAAATGATTTTGCAGGCCTTATATGGCCCCAGGGCTGGACATTCCCCACCCCTGCTTTAGAGCAATTCCCAGGAGCCTTCCGGCACCCTCTCCGGATGGCCCCGCAGCACCCTGGCCAGAGTCAGTTCCTCCACAGCCTCCCGCTAATAGGGCACTTGCCTCGCTGGGTATCTTGTGTTTGCTCATAAGTGAGTCTTTATAACTAGACTAAGAGCAACCCTAGGGCCAGGTCTGTGTCTCATCAATTTCTGTATCCTCTGTACCACATCCAGTTCTTAAATATATTTGTGGAGTTGTTTCCCGGCTCTCTAACCCAGGTGATGTGCTCTGGCTCTGTTTCAGGTCTTTCTGTCCGAGTGGAAGGAACGCAAAGTCGCTCTCTCACGGCTCACCAGTCTGGAGATGAAAGACGATTTCCTCCACGGACTGCAGATGCTAAAATCTCTGCAGAGCAAACATGTCGTCACGCTGCTTGGCTTCTGTGAAGATGACAACACTATTCTCACCGAGTATCACCCCTTAGGGTCCTTGAGCAGCCTGGAAGCGACGCTCAACCTTTCCAAGTACCAAGCCGTGAACACCTGGCAGCAGCGGCTGCAGCTGGCCATGGACTACGTGGGCATCATCCACTACCTGCACCACAGCCCCCTGGGCACGCGGGTCATGTGCGACTCCAACGACCTGCCCAAGACGCTGTCCCAGTACCTGCTGACCAGTAACTTCAGCATCGTGGTGAACGACCTGGACGCGCTGCCCCTGGTGAACCGCAGCGCCGGGGCGCTGGTGAAGTGCGGCCACAGGGAGCTTCACGGGGATTTCGTGGCTCCGGAGCAGCTGTGGCCCTATGGAGAGGACGTGCCTTTTCGCGACGATCTCATGCCCTCGTACGACGAGAAGATCGACATCTGGAAGATTCCCGACGTCTCCAGTTTCCTTTTGGGACACGTTGAAGGGAGCGACATGGTCCGATTCCATTTGTTCGATATCCACAAGGCCTGTAAGAGCCAGACTCCTGCAGAGAGGCCCACCGCGCAGGCCATTCTGGACACTTACCAGAAGGTTCTGAATTCACTCAGAGACACCGTGACGTCTCAGACCAGAGAAATGCTATGAAGACTAGTCCGGTCAGTGAGGGGTGCGAGTTAAGGAACAGCAGTTCTGCTCTGACAGTGAGCTTGCTGCTGTTCAGCCAGGTGGCTCCTCCTCTGGACCCACGTGCACATGTGAGCGGCTGCCTCTGCTGGCCACCGGGGCGGAAATTGCTAAGCCAGAGCAACCGACGTGATCTAAGTCTGGCTTCCCTTCTAACGTTGACCGCTCCCAGGAGAAGATGCAGAGAAGCCGTGAATCTGACCTGTATCTGAAGGAAGTAACTACAGAAAGATGTAGCTGGAAAGAGCCTTTCCCTGACCTAATAACTGAGTTTGTAAGCTTGTAAGAAAGGTAGATAGAGACGATTTTTAAATGGCAGTATATGAAAGAAGCATAGAGTAGTTCTCCAAGGAATTTTCTTTCCTCTGTTTTGGGTGGTAATCAACATACCAGGTCCTGGGAGTATCCCTGGTCTGCTTCACTTTGTATGGGTGGGGCCACCCTTACTGTTTTAAGTGATTGCTCTGTGAAGCTCCAGTGCCATCCTTCCTAGGAGCTTAAGGAGAACTATGATGGCATGCTCTTTGAAATTTGTTTTTTAATATATTTTTACTAGAGGCCCGGTGCACGAGTTTGTGTACAGGTGGGATCTTGCCAGCCAGCCCCAAACGGGGTAGGTGCGGCCGATTGGGGGTGGGACCAGGGGGAGGGGTCATGGGCGGTTGGCTGGTTGGCCCCGCCCCCTGTTCAAACTTCTGGTTGAATGCCCATCGAGGGGACAATTTGCATATTAGCCTTTTATTATATAGGATTGATTTCAAAGAGAGAGAAACATCAATGGTAAGAGAGTCATTGATCAGCTGCCTCTTGCACGCCCCGCACTGGGGAACGAGCCAGCAACCTGGGCATATGCCCTGACCAGGAATTGAACCGTGACCTCCTGGATCATAGGTCGATGCTCAACCACTGAGCCATGCCAGCTGGGCTGAAATTTTTAATGAATAAGGAATATTTATAACAACAAGAATGAGGGAAATGACGTGTTACTGCCTTGGATGGTAGTTGTGATATTCATGTTTACCTTCCTGCTGGGTTTTCTCGGTCTAAAATTATTGTGAACATTTTACATCAACACTGTCACTCATGACTGGAAAGTGTCAAACCCTTTCACTTGAGTTGTACGATTGAAGCTTCAAAAAGCTCTTTCCTTGCTCACCATCATCATTTGCAGAGGATGATGGATTTGGTGCATATTAATCATCCCTAATAAGGTGGTTAAAGCTGACATGGAGGGGTGGGATCACTGGAATCACAGGGACCCCAGAGTCTCTGACTCAGAAGGTCTGGTGGGATAGAGTCCGAAACTTTGCATTTCTAACTAGTCCCCAGGGCAGTGACAACCACTGCCCCTAACTGTCAGACAGGGCACCACAGGCACTGATATGGAAGTAGTATCAGTCTTACCCCCTAGTCTACTGCCTATGGTTGACTGGGTCCTCTGGTTGATCAGAGAATGTGCTTGCCCACAGTATTGTTCTAACTGCTGCTTTTTGATAGAAAAACTCCACCACAACCCACTAGGAGGGCTGTAATCAAAAGGATGGACAATAACAAGTGTTGGTGAGGATGTGAAGAACTGAAACCCTCAGACATTGCCAGTGGGAATGTAAAATGGTGTAGCCACTTTGGAAAACAGTCTGGCACTTTTCAGAAAGTTCAAAATAGAATTACTGTGACCCAGCAATTCCGCTCCCAAGTATTTACCCAAGTGAACTGAAAACAGATCCACACAAAGAATACCTCACATTCAACATTTCCCAAATAACTCTTCTCTGAGCCAGATTTGCTGCTTGTTTCCTACGTCTGTAAGTGGCACACCACCCATCTGATTTTCCAAGGCAAAAACCTAGTTTATATATAATAAAATGCAACCAGTTTATGTATTTCAATGAGTTTTGATATATTTATCTACTCATGTCACCACCCCTACAGATAAAACATTTCCCTCCTAGAATTTCCCACGTACCCCCCCCCCTTCAATCCTTTCCCAACTGCTGGCCTCAGGCAATGACTCTGCTTGCTTTTTAGAAAGATTAGAATTTTCTCCCAAATATCATAATTGGAACCATACAGTGTGGTATAAACATTTTTGTACCTTTTTTATTCATTGCAATGGTTTTGAAATCCATCCATATTGTTTACATCAGTAATTTATATCTTTTTATTGGTAAGTAATATTCCATTATATGTATGTTCATCAGCCATCTGCCGATGGACACGGGGTTGTTTCTAGTTTGGGGCTGTTATGAAATAAACTGCTGTTACCATTTAAATACAATTCTTTTGTCTTGGGTAAATACCTAGGAGTATTCCTATGATCACATTTAAGAAACTTCTAAACTGTTTTTCAAAGCATCTGTACCATGTTCCAATAGCAATGTTCAAGAGTTCCATTTGCTCCACACTCTTAGCCTACACTTGTTATTATCAGCTAATTTAATTTTAGCGATGCTAGTGGGTGTGTAGTACCATCTCATTGTAGTGTTAATTTGCATTTTCCCAAAGATAAGTGATGCTGAGAACCTTTTTATGTTTATTGGCCATTCACATCTCTGGTGAAGAGTCCAAATCTTTTGCCCATTTTTAAATAATTTGCTTATTATTAAATTGTTAGCGTTCATTGTGTAACCTGGAATTAAGTCTGTTACTAGCTATATCTTTTGCAAATCGTTTCTCACAGCCAGAGGCTTGCCTTTTCATTTTCTTAACTGTGTTTTGTTTAAGTTTGTGTTTTAAAATGGTTTAGCCCTAGCCAGTTTTGCTCAATGGATAGAGCATCTGCCTATGGACCAAAGGGTCCCAGGTTCAATCCCAGTCAAGGGCACATACTTAGGTTGCAGGCTCAATCCCCGGCCCGGCCCTGGGTGGGAGCAGGAGGCAACCAATTGATGTGTCTCTCTCACATCAATGTTTCTCTGTCTCTCCCTCTCCCTCCCACTGTCTCTAAAAAATCAATGGAAAAAATATCCTTGGGTGAGGATTAACAAAAAATAAAATAGTTTATATATTATTTAAGAAAGTCATGAAGGTTTTCTCCTTTATTTTCTTCCAGAAGTTTTATAGTTTTAGCTTTTACATTGAGGTCCATATTTCATTTCTAGTTCGGTTGTGTGTATGCTGTGAGGTAAGGGTTAAAGTTCACTTTTTCCTGCACGTAGCATCGTTTATTGAAATGATTGTTTTAGCATCATTTATTGAAAACATTATTTCCCCCATTAAATTGCTTTGGTAACTTGGAGAAAAACCAGTTCTGTGCGTTTACTTTTAGGCTCTCTCTATCTTGTTCTGTTGATCTATATTACTACCTTATGCTGATAACACACTATCTTGATTACTATAGCTTTATAGTAAATCTTGAACTCAGATAGTGCAAGACCTACAATTCTGTTGTTCTTTTTCAAAATCATTTTACATTTCCATATAAATTTTCGAATCAGTTGTCAATTTCTACACACACACAGATACACACAAGAAATAACCTACTGGGATTTTTTTTTGGATTGCACTCTATATAGATCAGTTTGGGGAAAACTGGCATTTTAACAGTAATGGTTCTTCTAATCTATGAACATGGTAGATCTCTCCAACTATTTAGGTCTTCTTTAATTTCTCTCAGTCATGTTTTGTAGTTTTTAGTGTTCAGGTCTTATACTTGTTTTGTTAAATTTAAGTATTAATTTTAAAAAATTCTATTGTAAATGCTATTTTTAAAAAGTCAAGTTCCAATTTTGTTTACATCTTGATATGAAAATACAATTGATTTTTGTATATTGACTTGGAATTCTGTGACCTTGTTAAATTCACTTATAAATTCTGGTAGTTTCGGTATGTGTGTGTGGAAGATTCCTTAAGAGTTTCCACACATACATTTATTCATACCATATTTGAATAAAGCCAATTTGTATGCTGTTTTCCTTTCTTCTCCTTGCCTTCTTGCACTGACCAGGACCCCAGGGCAATGCTGAGTAGAAATGATGTGTGCGATTATCCTTGCCTTGTTCCTGATGGAAGGGGGAAACATTTAGTTTTTTAAGTGTCATGTTAGCTGTAAGTTTAGCGTTTATCTTTCCATTATGTGTCATTACACTTTTATTACATGTGCATTTATCCCTAATCAACATATAGTGTTGTTCTTGGCTTTACATTTTCCATATAAGTTACTACAAAGGCATGTCTGCAACTTGCATTTTCCCCTCTGCCTTATTTTGAGATTCATCCATTTCAATACATGTAACTCTAGGTCATTAATACTGCTCTATATATACCACAACTTATCCATTTCCTCTACTGATGAATATTTAGATTATTTACAGGTTTTTGCGATTATAACCCATTCTGCTACAAGCGTTATCGTACATGTCCCTTTATAGGTATGGTAGCTTCTCCAGTCGTATGGCTGCGAGTGCAGCTGCGGGGTCCTCGTGTCTGCTCGCCTTGAACTTTATCAGAGATTGCCAAAGAGCCCTTCAAAGGGGTGGTACAAGTTGGCTTTTAAGTCTCATCTCTCTCTGGATAGTGAATGCCTGGGGCCTGGGGCTCCGCCGGTCTGACTTACCATGCCATTTCCAGAACAGTGGACAGAAGACACCAACACCCATTTGTGTGTTGAATAACCAGACGCAGGAATTTAACAGAATGTCTCTCAGGAGGGTGATCAGAGACGGGGGTAGTGGCTTGTGGCCTGCGGGAGGTCTCTCTTCTGAATGTTTCTCCGGGAACAAAAAGCAGTGCGCAGCCCTAACCGGTTTGGCTCAGTGGATAGAGCGACGGCCTGCGGACTGAAGGGTCCCAGGTTCGATTCTGGTCAAGGGCATGTACCTTGGTTGCGGGCACATCCCCAGTAGGGGCTGTGCAGGAGGCAGCTGATCCATGTTTCTCTCTCATCGATGTTTCTAACTCTCTATCCCTCTCTCTTCCTCTCTGTAAAAAATCAATAAAATACATTAAAAAAAAAAAAAAAGCAGTGCGCAACCTGGAGACAATCCTGGTCCTTTGCTTACGTCCTTTACAGAGTAAGCTTCCCAGAGCGCGGGCCCAGCGTGGCCCGGCCCCTCGG